GTCCCCAGGAGGTGACAAAATCCTCGTGGGCACCCCCGGTGACGTCACCATGGAGGGGACAGAAGATCCCAATGTCACCGATGGCCTTGGGGACACTTTGGGACATCTGAACGAAGCCACCGGAGATGCCACCACCGTGGTGACGTCGGTGACAGAGTCCCCAGGAGGTGACAAAATCCTCGTGGCCACCCCCGGTGACGTCACCAGGGAGGGGACAGAAGATCCCAGAGCCACCAACGGCCTTGGGGACACTTGGGGACACCTCGGTGACGTCCCTGGAGATGCCACCACCATTGTGGCACCTGTGACTGTGACCTCAGGAGGTGACAAAATTTTTGTGGCCACCCCCAGTGACGTCACCATGGAGGGGACAGAGGTGGCGGCCACACCCAATGGCCTTGGGGACACTTGGGGACATCTGAACGAAGCCACCGGAGATGCCACCACCACGGTGACATCGGTCACGGTGTCACCGGGAGGTGACAAAATCCTCGTGGCCACCCCCGGTGACGTCACCATGGAGGGGACAGAGGTGGCGGCCACACCTGGTGGCCTTGGGGACACTTTGGGACATCTCAATGACGTCACCGGAGATGCCACCACCATGGTGACATCGGTCACGGTGTCACCAAGAGGTGACAAAATCCTCGAGGCCACCCCCGGTGACGTCACCATGGAGGGGACAGAGGATCCCAATGTCACCGATGGCCTTGGGGACACTTGGGGACATCTCAATGATGTCCCTGGAGATGCCACCACCATGGTGGCACCTGTGACAGTGACCTCAGGAGGTGACAAAGTCCTTGTGGCCACCCCTGGTGACGTCACCATGGAGGGGACAGAGGTGGCGGCCACACCCGGTGGCCTTGGGGACACTTGGGGACATCTGGACGAAGCCACCGGAGATGCCACCACCGTGGTGACACCTGTGACAGAGTCACCAGGAGGTGACAAAATTCTTGAGGCCACCCCCGGTGACGTCACCATGGAGGTGACAGAAGATCCCAATGTCACCGATGGCGTTGGGGACACTTTGGGACACCTCAGTGACGTCACCGGAGATGCCACCACCATGGTGACGTCGGTCACGGTGTCCCCAGGAGGTGACAAAATCCTCGTGGCCACCCCCGGTGACGTCACCATGGAGGGGACAAATGTGGTGACCACACCCAATGGCCTTGGGGACACTTTGGGACATCTGGACGAAGCCACTGGAGATGCCACCACCGTGGTTGGAGTTGTCACCGAACCATCAGGAGGTGACAAAATTCTTGTGGCCACCCCTGGTGACGTCACCATGGAGGGGACAGAAGATCCCAATGTCACCAATGGCCTTGGGGACACTTTGGGACATCTGGACGAAGCCACTGGAGATGCCACCACCATTGTGACATCGGTCACAGAGTCCTCAGGAGGTGACAAAATCCTCGTGGCCACCCCCGGTGACGTCACCATGGAGGTGGCGGCCACGCCCGGTGCCACCAACTGCTCTGGGGACACTTTGGGACGCGTCCCTGATGTCCTCGAGGCCACCGGAGATGCCACCACCGTGGTGGCACCTGTGACAGAGTCCCCAGGAGGTGACAAAATCCTTGTGGCCACCCCTGGTGACGTCACCATGGAGGGGACAGAAGATCCCAATGTCACCGATGGCCTTGGGGACACTTGGGGACACCTCAGTGACGTCCCTGGAGATGCCACCACCACGGTGACGTTGGTGACAGAGTCACCAAGAGGTGACAAAATTCTTGTGGCCACGCCCGGTGACGTCACCATGGAGGGGACAGAGGTGGCAGCCACACCCGGTGGCCTTGGGGACACTTGGGGACATCTGGACGAAGCCACCGGAGATGCCACCACTGTGGTGACATCGGTCACGGTGTCCCCAGGAGGTGACAAAATCCTTGTGGCCACCCCCGGTGACGTCATCATGGAGGGGACAGAGGTGATGGCCACACCCGGTGGCCCTGGGGACACTTGGGGACATCTGGACGAAGCCACCGGAGATGCCACCACCATGGTGACATCGGTCACAGAGCCCTCAGGAGGTGACAAAGTCCTTGAGGCCACCAACGGTGACGTCACCATGGAGGGGACAGAAGATCCCAATGTCACCGATGGCCTTGGGGACACTTTGGGACATCTCAATGACATTTCTGGAGATGCCACCACCATGGTGGCACCTGTGACTGTGACCTCAGGAGGTGACAAAATTTTTGTGGCCACCCCTGGTGACGTCACCATGGAGGGGACAGAGGTGGCGGCCACACCCGGTGGCCCTGGGGACACTTGGGGACATCTGAACGAAGCCACCGGAGATGCCACCACCATGGTGACATCGGTCACGGTGTCCCCAGGAGGTGACAAAATCCTCGTGGCCACCAACGGTGACGTCACCATGGAGGGGACAGAAGATCCCGATGTCACCAACGACCCCAAGGACACTTTGGGACATCTCGGTGACATTTCTGGAGATGCCACCACCGTGGTGACATCGGTCACAGAGTCACCAGGAGGTGACAAAGTCCTCGAGGCCACCCCCGGTGACGTCACCATGGAGGTGACAGAGGATCCCAATGTCACCGATGGCCTTGGGGACACTTTGGGACATCTGGACGAAGCCACCGGAGATGCCACCACCATGGTTGGAGTTGTCACCACGGCCCCGGGAGGTGACAAAATTCTTGAGGCCACGCCCAGTGACGTCACCATGGAGGTGGCGGCCACGCCCGGTGCCACCAACTGCTCTGGGGACACTTTGGGACGCGTCCCTGATGTCCTCGAGGCCACCGGA